CCACGGGCATTTACTGAGAGCTCCCAGGGCCCACGGCCACATAAAGCCCGCTGCTTCGTCATTGCCGCCACTCGATGGAGACTCTACTGATGAGCGAGCCTTCGGGGGCCCTCAAAGCAATGTGGTCTACTTTGGAAACTTAGGAATGTTGAGAATATAAATATATATGGCAGCTACAGATTGGGGTTAGCAGAAGAGAGCTAGTTTGGGTGATTCTCAGGCTGGTGAGAGTGACTGAGAAAAATCATTTTCTGGTCATCTCAGTACTTAGAGGGGATAGAGAACCCGGGGCCGGGAGTGGGGGCACAGGAGGAGAGGGAAGGTAGAAACATCAGATGCTTCCAATTATACTTTGCCATTTTAAACTGTGAAACTTTGTCCCCAGCATAGCCTACTTCTTTGCTTTTTGTATGTGTTTACAGAAAGCAAATGTCCATCCTGGAGAAAATACAGTTTTAGAAACTGGCTCTTTATGATGCTGGAATCTGTCATTCCCAGAGGGATCAGTAAAGGGTAAATCAGTTGAATGAGAATTGGGCCCAGAGAGAAAGCCAAAATTGTACGTTCACGACACACTTGAGCCCTTTCAGAGATTCTCTGTCTATTCCTCTGAGATCAGGCTGAGAGACAGTAATGCTTCTTTGAACGTATCACAGTTGAGAAATTAAGAGGCATTAAAACTCTTGGGGTTTTTGCTTTATTCTTTCTTTTTCTCCAAAATGCTTGCCTTCTACTTCTCTATTCCCAGCCCCGTTGAAGGTCCAGATACAGAATCTTTCATGGGCCTCGTCTGCCATGAACAAGGTGAGACAGAAGGCCAGGCAGGATCGACTGGGAACCAGCAGCTCGCGTCGTAAACTGTCAGTGCAGAACTTGTACCTGCAGTGTGTTTGCCTCAGGGTGGTTAGTGATGGTGAAAAGGTACAGGTTGATCCACCCCTGGACGTCGGGGCTTCTTTCCGGTTGCCATTGACTTGTGTCAGAGTAGAACAGAGCCTCGTCGGCTGAGTTTTTACAGCTCGATTCCCAGGATTTTCCTATTTTCCTCGGAGGGGCCTCTGGGAAGACTTGAACCTCCATCCTCTCCATCGGCAGCGAGCGTGGTAACACTTGCTGCCCTCCAGGGACTCTGGCCCCTGGTAGAGCCACAGCAATTCTTGGACAGGATAAACTACGCATGCCAAATGTGGTACATCCATGTAAGTAAGAATTAAGCAAATATTAATGATCAGGATTCTGAGCCCACATCTGCACTAGGTATATATATAGTATGTCCTCGTTTGAAGTTTATTTTTGTAAGCCCTGCCTGACTCTCTCAGGTGACATTTCAGTCACAGCCTCCCGGTCCTCTGTGGGTCCATTCATGCTGCTCAAGAACCTGTTCACAGCAAATCCGATTGAGCCACTCCACTGCCCTCGGGGCCTGCAGACATGGGCCGATCAAGCCCACCCACCCCGACCAACCTGTCTGGCTGTTCTCTGCTTGCCTGTGGTCTCCTCTGCTCCAAGGTCCTTTAACTAGAGGCCTGATCAGCCCAGAAAGGTCTTTCCCTAGAACTTTTCACGGCAGCTCTGCTGTGTTCGGATCTCTGCTCACAAGCCATGCTCATTGAAGCCCCCTCTTGCACCTCCCTCGGGCACCATCACATCCTGATGTTTTTGGTTTTGTTTCCTTGGCTCTTGGGTGCTTGAAACAGTTTCAGATTACCAGTGAAAACATAAACACCCTGAGGGCAAGGGCTGGTTCTGTCCTGTGTATCCAACTGCAGATTATCAGTCAGTAGATCGATGAGAAAAAGCATAGCAGGAGATAGCAGGGGAGATTCCCAAGGAGGGTTTCCTGCAGAGATCATGCATGCTGCTAAAACAGTAACAAAAGGGTTGCCATCAAGTGAACCGCAGCTCCTGGTGACCTTGTGTGTTGGGGTAGAACTGCACCCGATGGGGGTTTCAGTGGCTAATATCCTTCTAAGGAACGTCTGGGTGCACTCTCCCTCCCACCTCTGAGTTAGCAGCTGAGCACATGTGCCAAGTCAGCACTTGGGAGCTCCTCAGACTTGGGCAGGCCTGTATGCATGAGGAGCCTGGTGGTCTAGTGGTTGTGCATTGGGCTGCTAACTGCGAGGTCAGCAGTTCGAAACTGCCAACCACGCCACAGAAGAAAGACTGGGCTTTCTACTCCAGTAAAGAGCTCTAGTCTGGGAAACTCACAGGGGTGCGTCCACCCTGTCCTGTAGGGTCGCTATGCCAAAGGCAGTGAGTTTTGTTTTGTTTTGTTTTGTTTGTTTCTATGTGTCACTCAGATGCTTAGCTGGGTTCTGGGGGGTTGTACACATTGAAGACAAGTGCAGGGAATGCACCGTCTGCAAGCTGAGTGTGCCTCGCCCCTAGCCTGGTGTCTGCTGTGCCGCGGGAGCTGACCAAACACTTGCAGAATCCTGTAGCCAGATCCGGGCTGGGGAGGAAGTACCCAGCTGCACGGTGACGTGCAGATGTGCTGACGGCCATCCCCGGTGGTGCGCGGCTGCTGTCCAGCAATCAGTTATTTGACTCGGGGGGAAATCCATTCTCCATGGCAGCGCAGGGGGCACTGGCGCCCATGCTGTTCAGCCCACGCTGCTGTTGGCAGAGATCACGTGGAGTCTCTAGCGAGCTCTCTGTGACGCGGTGACTGGTGAACAGTCGGCAGGTCATCTTCCAGACAAAAAAAAACAATAAAAACCCTACGGTGCTGTTTATCTTTCCCAAGTCCCCTAACCTGACAGTAATAATGGTCGGCCAGGACTCTGGTGCTTCCTCAGCCCTGTCACTGCGACCGGTTAAGGCGCTAGCCCTTGTGTGACCGACATCCACATGCCGTTTCCGTCTGGAAGGCTGTGCACACTTGGGGAAAGGGAGAGAATCCAGCAGTGGGAACCTGGATGACGAATGTTGACAAAGGCAAGGAGGTGGGATTGCCTGACATCCAAGTCCTCTGTTTTCTTTCCATGCGGATTTCCATCATGGTACATTCAAGTGAATGGTTCATTCTGCCCCACAGCCGTGAAGTAGAGAGGGCCTCCCACCCCACGTAGGTTTAGTCTGGCATCTCCTCCGTCTTTGAGTAGAGGTGGCTGAACAAAAAAAGACTAGAAACTTGCATTTTCACTGTTAGAAAACGTTTCCGAAAAAACTTTTTTTTTTCCTTTTTTTTCTTCACTGTTGACGAGCAGTTGTGTGACACGTGGGCCAGGAGTTGGAGCGATTTGTGCTCCGAGCCCCTAGTGATGGGGTGCACTGGTCCACTTATATAGCTGGCCGGGGCTGCATCCCTTCTGGAAAAGGGCGTGACCTAGAGGAACCCACGTCCTGTGACGGGGGGTCACCCCTAACTGCATATAGTTAGAGATGCACCCACGTCCTGTGACGGGGGGTCACCTCTAACTACATATAGTTAGAGATGCGTGGGGTCACCTCTAACTGCATATAGTTAGAGATGCACCCACGTCCTGTGACGTGGGGTCACCTCCAACTGCATAGGGTTAGAGTCTCCCTCTAGAAAGCGGAGGTACAATCATCCTCACCCTCCACGGGGATCTTTGTAGCGTTGCTTGATTTTTCTGGCACCTATTTGGCTTCATAGAAACATGGTAAACCTAACAGAAGAAGCCTCCCAGGGTGCTGTGGATTAGGTGAGCATGCAGGGCTCTGAGAAGCTGACTCGAGGCGTGGGAGTGCTGCCCCAGGAAGAGCGGGTGGAGGCTGCTTGGAGTGTGTCCCAGGCAAGGAGCGGGACAGAGCCAGGGACACAAGCAAGCGCCAGAAGGATGCCGCCTGCTCGGCTAAAAGACCCAGCAGTAGGGCCAGCTATTGTGAAACCTCTCCACCAGATGAACGGGGACCCTTCTCTGATCACAATAGCCATTCACGCTGAGCAGCCTCATTAAATATTCAGCCTGTGCTTCCGGCAGCTCATTAGGGCCGCAGTGAGCAGTGACGTGGATGCTGGAAAGCCGAGGTCCGGACAGCAGCAGCCGGCAGAGGCTGAGTGAGCTGCCGATGGCCTTTCTGTTCACTGCCAGCCCTGTGATGACCAGTGTTTGCTCCCTGCTTTGCCTGAAGTACAGGTAAAAACAAGCCTAACCAAGTTCGAGCAGAAGCAGGCTGGCAGGGGCTCTGGTTCTCAGTGCTTGCCCCCTGGAGCCCAGTGCTTCTTAAACACCCACCCATGCGGCGATGGGAGAGAGATGGGGGGTTTGCTGACTGCCTTTGGGGGTGGTTTGAGGTTTGGTTTTGAACTTGGTGAGGGGTTTTGAAGTAGTGAACGAGTCTTCTCAAACTTACAGGGCGCAGCATTGTGGGTTGGTCCACACAGTTCCTGCAGTGAGTTTTCTGTGCCCAGGCCAAGTTGTCACATATTGGGGCAGTTCCTGGCTGTGCCGTTCCCTCCTCTTAACTATCGAGTTGAATACGAGGCAATTAAAATTTTAATTTATTTTTTAAGAGAATCTTTGGCTCTTTGGGGTTCTTCAAACAGGTTAAACGCTGTCCTCTAAACATGTGCTGCTTTGCCCACTGGTGTGCTCTCAATGCTGGGGGGTGTCCGGGGTGGGGAAATCTGGGAACAAAAGCCTGAAATGGTGGGCTCAGACCGAGTGGCATTCTCTGGACTCACTGCTGCATGTGTTTCTCTTTCCTACACAGGAAATGTTTTCAGACCGCTCATTTCTACGTGGAAGATAGCAGTTCACCTCGGGTGGTCCCCAATGAAAGTATCCCTATTATTCCTATTCCGGGTAAGTAAGACTCGACTCTCCTTTCCCGCGGGCTAATTGTTTTCCCCTTTGTTCCTGGTTACATGTGACAGACATGACAAAATATTGTTTTTACAGCCTTTCAAGATTGCCCCGCCTGAGAGATCCCTCACTCGGGGTGACTTAATGAATTCTTTGATCCCTTGTAGCTCTGGAAAGTCAAGAAATCTTCCCTAAGAGGCAAACACGAGTAGGAGTTAACCTGGTATAGATGCACGAGGAGAGATGAGACATAGCACAGGAGGAAACAAAAATGTTTTTGTTTCAAGACATTTACACATTTACTACCTAGTTGAACTCAATTCCCTTTCGCAATTTGTGCTTGCTTCCAATACTTTGTTGTTTTAAAGATGTCTCCTCCGAAGCTTTCTGACTCTGAACTTACCTTGGTTTGGAAGTTTGGATTCTTAGAATGCTGGAGCTGAAATCTTCTGACAGCATTATTATTCTTGTGTCCAATGCAGGTGCCATTTCTCCCCTTGTAAGAAAACCCAAGCCCTTGGTCTATCCAGGGAGCTGGATGGGGGGAGTGCTTTGTAGTGAGCCTAGGGAAGGCGCAGGCAGAAGTTCAGCCACCACTTCGTTGTAGAAAGACGTGGGCTTGGAGATGAGCTCCGCCGTTCATATTTGGTGCCTGTGCCCTCTTCCTATCGCTGGGTTTCACTAGATGCTGCCCACTGCCTGTCTACAGATAGCTCCCGTGTCCATCCTGCTGATAGTAATTGTTCTTTTATACACAGAGGCCCTGCCTTTGCAGTCGCACCACCCTCCACACCCACAGCCTTCCCTGCCCCACTTGCTCCTTCTCCATAATACTTTGCACCATGTGATGTAGTTCTCTGTTTCTGTGGTTGATCTGCTGGTCTTTCTCCCACCCCCAGAATGAGAGCCTCATAAGGACAGGTGGCATCATATGCTGAATGAGTGAATGGACGGATGACTGGGTGTCCTTAACCAGGCCTTGGCTCTGAAGCTCAAGTCCTGTCACTCTCTGGCTACCCAGGGAGAATGGCTTCTATTGTCTACTGACCTATAGCAGGTCTCCATGGTGTGTAGTTCTGCGTCTGCTTATATTAAGTCAGGAGACATTTCTGGAATGTGTCAAGTTCTTTCCATTCTGATCAGCCTCTCTCAGTAAAGTTGGTCACCGAGCAGCCAGAAGGCTAGCAGAATGATCTCTGGTTAAGTCCCTGCTGGACCTCTCAGTGGCTCCCAGATAGCCGGGGGATAAGTCTTGTATTACCGTATGTTCCTCTCTCCCACCCCTGGCCCACTGGGGTCGCATTCTTCCCTTGACATGGGAGGAGGAGTTGCGTTGAAGCCCCGTGCTCTGCAGGATTTGCTGTAGGTGGGAGATGGACAGTCGTGCAGGGCTTGTCTCATCTCTGAGAATGCCCTCGGACCTCCAGGAAGGGCCTGTGAGCCTCTCACCTCTGAAGGTATCTTACCTCGCCCATCTGACAGACACAGTTGCTAGGTAGCAGAGTGATTGAAATCTATTTTAGAAGGTTAAATTCAAATGGTGAAATACTTCTTGGGCTCTTTTCCCACCTTTTTTCCTCCTCCCCCTCTTCCCAGGGGATTAGGTATCAAAAAACCCAGAGTCTCACCTTACTTCTGTTTCACAGTCTTGAGAGCTTTGGTCCATACTTTGACCCCGCAGAACCTTTGATTCCAGAATTCTAAATGAACAGAAAACCCACCCTATTGGCCACAGTACCCAAAAGCCAAACCCACCATTATCAAGCAGATTCCCACTCATAGTTACCCTAGATAGGGTTTCTAAGGTTGTCAATGTCTGAGAGAACATGCCTTTTCTTTTCCCCACAGAGCAGATGGTGGGTTTGAACCTCTGACCGTAAGGTAGCACCACGACCACACCACAGAGCTCCGTAATGCTCATGGTAGAGGGTTGTAAGGATTGCCGGACAGGCTGTGTGCAGAAGTTCCTTGGAGGCCACAGAGCAAGCCAGAAATGGGACTTTGTGGAATTTCCTTCCCAGCAGTTGTGTGGGAGAGCACTGGTCAGGGAATTCTGTGAACATGATGGGGGCACCGAGCCGCTTCCATTTGGGGGAGGCCGCCTCCTAAGGCCCTTCTCTCATTTGGGTCAGAACTTTCCACTCACCGAGTGCCCAGGAAGCACCGTAAGTCACACTTGCCGTGGCTCACCTGAGTTGGTGCCTCGGTGTGGATGTGCCTCTGCATGCCAGGCTTCATATCACAGCTCCCTGCTTAATGACCAGTGAAACCCCCAAAGCCAGGGGCATCTTCTTAGGCGTGTGCTTCTCTCCTGTTAATCCATGCTCATGGGCAGTGTTCAGCGGGAGAAAGAAAAGGCTATCTGCTCTTGTACCACTGGGAACCTCAATAGGCTGCCACGGAGGTCACTATCAGTCCAAGCAGACACAATCAGAGGAGGGGGCTTGGTTTGGATTTGGGCAGTATAAGTAGGTAGAAAGTTTCTTCAAATTCTCCCCTCGCTGAGAAATGCGCACTACTCGGTGCTAACACCCTTCTCTTGGCAGGTGCATCTTGGTGAGCTGTAACACTCATCAAATGATTACTCCTGCTGCTCATGGACCAGCGATCTCTATCTGATAGCTCCCCTTGACGAAAACAGTACACACACACACAGGAATCCCCTCGACTATCCAACTATATTCTCCATTGATGATACAGTCTGGCAGTAAGGTGGGAACACTGGGGTCCTGAGCATGAGGAAGGAAGCACGCAGGGCATAGGAGTGGAGGAGGGGCATGGTGCCCCTTAGCCCCTGGACAGTAGGGGAGGAGACAGGAGTTGGATCAGTGGGGACAGGGCATGGCTTGACAGGGCCGGGATGTTTGCTTATCAGGGACTAAGGCCGTAGCAGTGGCAGCCAGGGTTCTGTAGATGGGACTACTTTGGGGGCTAGGGAGGAAATGGGGCTCAGGGTCTGGCCCCAGCACTCCTTCCAAGTAGCAGCAGGGACCAAGTGATCGGTGACCAAAAGAACTTTAAGTGCCACAGCGTGTTACATTTCCATGATGCCACGTCCAGGGCCGGCAGAGGTGTGTGCAGGGCAGACCACCGGTGCGGGTCAACAGTAGAGTAGCCAACAGCAGCAATTTAAGATCAAGGACAAAGGCCAGGTCTGTCCATCACAGCCTCAGAGGTAGCTCTCGGTAGCCAATTCTCATGGGGTCAGAGGGGAGTAGAGCCATTCAGCAGGAGTAAAGAGTGCTTGAGCAAGGGGTCATAAATCCCCCTGTAGCACCCAAGCCCTCCCACTTGTGGACCGAGAGCCTCTTGCCCCCAACAAGGCCACCAAGGGCATTTGGGGTCATTGAAGGCATGAAAATACCATGAAAACAGGAGAGAGAGGGGGACCCCAGTGATGGTGAAGGGGGCACATGGACCCCCAATGACTCTGAAAAGCCTATACAGGGTGGCCTTCCTGTATAGGCAGTGGTAGGGAGTGCGCTCTGCTGAAGAGACGTGGGGAAGGGAGAGGCATGAGTGGCAGGTGTCTACAGTAGAGGTGAGGCGAGGGGCTGAGGCAATGTGGTCACCTTGCACACGAGTAACTCACTGCACTACAAATAGGCATGCTACCACTCCGTGCTGGGCATGCTGCGCTCACAGTACTGGAGCTCAATCCCCCAGCAGCATTCGCCTGTCACATCACTAGACTTAGGGCATATTCAAACACCTAGTGATGCTCATTTGGTCTCTTCTGAATTGTTGGTCCTTGCCATTGTCATCTTCTTGCATTTGCAGCACCATTTCTTCAAACAAACAAACAAACAAACAAACAAGCCCTCTTCCATCCTCCTGGCAGAAGCTTCAGATTTCTGCTGTTGAAGCTGCTTCCATGTCTGAAGCTGCCCCCTCTCACCTTTGTCTACAGGCCAGTGATGTTCTCTTCCTCCCTACGGAAAGGCTCTGGGCTCACCCGCGTTTCCTTTCCTGGTGCCAAAGGAGGTCTGTGAGATTTAAGTGGCTGAGGGAGCAATTCACAGACACCCTGAATGGGGAACGAATTTAGTCGCTGAATCAAGTGAACTTTTGGATGGTTGCGCTACGGTTAAAATCCAGAAGCAGCCGTGGTCTTTAAATCCCAAAGTATAAATGGAATCAGTAAGTTATGCCAACTGGAGATGAGCATGATAAAATCAGCATCCGATTAGAGAGAAGCTTGGCTAACCTTTGGATGCCTACTCATCCCTGGGAAGAGAGCAAATGTAAGACTCTTTTGAGGAATTCTGAGTTACCAGTTTTCCTCCTTCCAACTACAAAATGTAGAAGCGGCCAGTAAGGAAACGTAATGAGTTCTTTAAGGTACTGAGACAACTTAAGTAAGTGTAGAGATGGTAGAAAGACCGTGAATGAGACAGCTAGGTGGGGAGAAGCTTGGCATTAGCCCTGTTAGGACTCCTCTGAGTGTTTGCCCTTGGCGATTGCCCGGGGTGAGAGAAGTGCTCTTGAAGTTAGCTTCCAAGGCAGTAGGCGTGACTTTGATTCTTTTATCAGGAAGGTTTTTTATTATCATGCCCTTGCCTTGTACGATGTGTGGGGAAAGTGGAAACTTCTTCGAGATAAATAAAACTCTGGTTTCTGTGGGAGAATGAAAAGCGCTTTGATTCTTAACGTCTTTCACAGTTTTACAAAAGCAATGCCCCGTGGCCACTGGCTTCCCGTTGTTAATCAGAGAGGGTAGATGGTAACTGCATGCCCTGACCCAGCCACCAGGCCCCTCACCGAGTTCCACCTTCTCAGCTGCTGACACGCGTTCACGTATGTCTGTACTTTACGATCCAAGTTTTTCGTAGCATCTACAGGTACTTTTTAAGATCTGGTGTTTCTGGCCTGGGGGTCTGACCGGGAAGTCATCCACCCCAATAATAATTTTGTTGCTGCCATTAGCACAGCACCATCTATAAGAGGGGGCTTCAGAAAATACTTGGGGGAAGTTTCATCTTCTTCTTTATTTCATTTTC